AGGTAGGCGTCGCCGCACTTCGGGTAGCTGCTGTCGCGGTCGCAGCACCAGGTCAAGCCTTCCTTCTCGCAGTTCCGCGCGTTGTCGTAGAAGAGGTCGCAATACTCTTCTTCGTCGTCGTGGCCGTCGTGGTCGTCGTGCCCCTCGGGGGTGCAGTAGAACCAGCCCCCTTCCACGGCGGAGCACCATGGGTTGGCATCCCCGTCACATGCGATTGCCGGGCACCCATACTGCTGGTCCATGCAACCGTCCGTATCGTAAGACCATTCTTCCAAGCACGTCCCGGTCTCGATCATATCATGATCGCCGAAGGCGCCGAGCGCGAGGGCCGTGAGGGAGAGGATGGACTTGAGCATCATCTGCGGGGGGATGTCGGTCGAGGCTAAGGGAAGGGAACGAGGAGTCGGGGATGTTCGGTTCGGCGCGATCGAGTCGGATCGACGCGCGCGCGGGCTGACATCGGGGGATTTTTTTGGGGGGGGGGCGCTCTCTCGGGCCGCGGGGAGGACGTCGAGCGCGTGCGGTGCTTCCCGGCGCCGCGGCGGCAACGAAGCGTGCATTTTGCGGCGATCGAGTCTAAAGATAAAATTGCGCGGCGAGTTCGTTGCCAAAAGTCGACACGTTCGACGGGATGCGGGGTTCAGGGCGATGCGAGCGGGGGGTGTTTGGAGGGTGACTCACGGTGTTGGTACGGAGTCTGGCGTGCGAGAGGCCTAAACCTTGAAGGAGCGAACTCAGCGGCGGCAGCGACGACAAACGAGAAGGGCCGCGACCCCCGGCGAGCGATTTGCCACAGCATGGCGTGCCTCATCGGCTAAAACCACAGCCGCCGTTCGACGATGAGGCGCGGCCCTGCTCCGTCTTCGCGGGGCACCAAGACACCCGACCCCAGCAGAGAAAAAGGAGCAGCCCCGCGCGAGGGCAACAACTGGGTCTTCGTCCTCATTTTTGTCGTCGTCTGCGCCATCGCCTTCGCCGTGCGCGCCGCCGCCGCGCCGGACGCCGCGCCGCCGCAGACGACGACCACGACGACGGCCTACCACGGCAGCCGCGTGCGGCTCCCGGACGGCGCGCAGACCATCACGCTGAAGCCCGAGGCCGCGCGGCGGCCGGGCGCGCTCGTCGCGAAATCGACGCGGGACCCGGCCGCGCTCCTCGAGCGCCTCGAGCTGCCCGCGCGCAAGGAGAAACCGCCGATCGAAGCGCCGCCGGCGCCGCCGGAGCCGGTCGCGCCCAAGTTCAAGCCCGTGCCGC